GGCAGAGTGGCTGCGGCGCTGGCGGCGGGGCGGCCCCGCGGAGCGCCCCGGCCGAGACCCGGCAGCGGGGCCGGGGCCGCCGCCCCCCGCCCTCCGCTACCGCCGGCCCAAGTTCGTGCCCGGCGGGGCCGAGGAGAGCCCGCGGGGCGGGCGGGCCGTGCGGGGCGCCGGCAGCGAGCGGCCCCTGCCCTGGGGCGCGGGATACGCCGAGTGAGTGCGGCGGGAGAGCCCCGGGGCGGCGGGGTTAGGGGGTCTCTCCCGGGCTGCTGAGAGGGTTTGGGGAGGGGGAGTAGCGCAGGTTTGGGGGCTCTTGGGGGTGTAGAAGGGTGCTTGGGGGGCGAAGGGCACTCCTGGGGAGGTGCCGGCGGGTGGTCGCACCCCGCCCCGCGCCCCTCGGGTGCAGCCCCCCACTGCCCTGAGCCGCCTGCCCACGGGCAGAGCTCGCCCTCCCACCCCGTTTGCAGGCGAGGAGGGAGCGGCTTCCTGCTCCAGAAGAGGTTTGACGTGGCAGCGTGTCCCTCAACCCCTCTCTATCCATGCTGGGGACACCCCTGCCCACCCCCTGCCAGCCGCAGGACAGGTACCAGTGCAGTGAGAAGTGGCCGGGGCAGCCCCGAGAGCACCAGCGGGTGTCTGTCCCCTTGCTCCTAACTAAGTGTCTTTAAAACGAAGGGGAAGATCACATTTATAGAAATCTCTTGTTTTGCTGTTTTAAAGGGCAGAGGGGATGGGTCAGGCAGAACAACTCCAGCCAGGAGCTGTCCCCACATCCTGGCCAGACCACATCACGACCCCGCGGCTGTGAGATGGCACAGTGTGAAATGCAAGGAGAGCAAACTCCCATCCAGGGACAAAGCATTAGCAAGGGTGGAGGGAAAAGCAATGGTGGTGGTTTTGCAATTCACTGTGTCGACAAGGAAATAGCACAGCGTGGGCTGCTGCCAAGGGCTTCCTGAGGCCAGGGTGCTTCAAAACTACTCACTTGTCCCTGTGTCCCTGGCCAGGCTTTTCCCTGCCGTACATAAAGGGCTTATTGTTTCGGTCACCAGCAAAGAGATCCTCGAGTTTGAAAAGGGAGCAGGGAGCATGGGGCTGGAAGGAAGTGGCAAGGTGCAGCTGTTCACTGTGGTGGCACAGTTGGCTGAGAGCAGGAGAGGTGCAATGTGCGACCACACCTTACCTGGAGCGTTTGCACCCCCAGGGTTATCAATGCCGAGAAATCGGAGTTCAATGAGGACCAGGCAGCCTGCTGTCAGATCTCTGTCCGGAGGAGAGAGCCAGGCCTGGAGGAGGATGAGGAATGGCTGATCCTATGCTCCATGCAGGTATGGCCCCAGGCAGGCTGTGCTCACCCTGCTGCCAGCCTTTTGCTGCCAGTCAAGGGCCCAGGGTCAGGAAATACGATTACTCCATCAGTCCTGCATACCCACTCACTGAAACCCTTCCTTGGACTTGTTAAGGAGACCTGTGTACCCTATGGGCAGCAAACACCCAGCTCTGCCTGTAAATGCCATTTCTACTTCCATGAGACTTGCAGCATTTGAAGTCACCCTTTACTTGGTGCCATCAACTTTCCTTTACTCTCCTCGCTCTGCTTCCATGGGCCAGTGTGTGTGGTCATCACCTGGGGACAGCAGCATGAACCAGGCACCACAATGCCTTCACCTGGGAGCAGACCCTGCCTTACCTCTTGTGAAACGGCCCCATCTACCCTAAGACACAGAGGAACAGCATGTGAGGGCGGGTGGTGCAAATCCAGACGCTGAGATGACAGGTCTGCCAGAGCAGCACGTGGGCATCACATGAGTTGATTAACTGGTGGCAGGGAAGGGTAGTCGGGGTGGAAAAGCCAGGCAAAACACACTCTGTGATGTTCTGGCTGTGAGCCTGCCACCTGTATGACCTCTTCAGCCCTTGTCTTCTCCCTCCCTTGCTGTCTTGTCCCTCTTCCTCACGGCAGTTTCTAACCGGTTACTACTGGGCGCTGTTTGATGGCCATGGTGGCCCCGACGCTGCCATCATTGCCTCCAACTACCTGCACTACTGCATCAAGCAGAAGCTGGAGGAGGTGGTGGGAGGCATCACAGAGGCCCAGCCCCCCATGCACCTCAGCAGGCGCTGCGTTTGCGACAGTGACCCCCAATTCGTGGAGGAGAAGCACATCCACGCAGCAGACCTGGTGGTGGGAGCACTGGAGAATGCCTTCCAGGAATGTGTGAGTACCCCCCTGTGCAGGGCACCAGTCCTGCTGTCCCAGGCAGTCAGTCTGTCCCCCCCTCACCACCCTGAAGGGCAGGGTCTGCAGTTCTGCAGCTCATGGAGCAGGCAGGAATATTCATCCAAACATGTAAGGGTGCTGAGATCAGGCTGGTTCAGACCCCAACACCTGCCTCAGATTTACTGCACGTCGGCAGTGCTGACCCAGAGGAGAGCTACGGCATCTCTTTACTACTTTTAGGGCTATCGTGACACTCATACAGTGAGTACAAGTTTGAGATCTCCCCCTCACCCTCCTAAAGCAGTCTGTAGTTCAGTGGCAACAGCTGTGTTGGCTGTACCAAAGCAACGTCATCAGTCACCTTGCTGGTTTCCTGTGGCCTATCCACAGTCAGTTTTGGTTCTGGATTTCTGCTGGGAGACACGAGGCAGAGTGTGGAAAGCAGCAGCTCAGATCACGTCAGTCTTCAAACTTTAAACCAACAGGATGAAGTCATCGGCCAGGAGATGGAAGCTATGAACCAGTCAGGAGGCTGCACTGCTCTGGCTGCCCTGTATTTCCAGGGAAAGCTGTATGTGGCTAATGCTGGGGACAGCAGGTGAGTCATAATAAAAGGGGGAAGTTGCTGCAGGGCGGGACCTGGGACATGAGCAAGGTTTCCAGCATCTTACTGTCCTGGTTTCAGCTGGGATAGAGTTAATTTCCTTCCTGGTACAGTGCTGTGTTCTGGATTTAGGAGGAGAACAGTGTTGATAAGCCACTGATGTTTCAGTTGTTGCTGAGCAGGGCTTGCACAGAGTCAGGGACTTTTCAGCTCCTCACCCCACCAGTGAGGAGGTTTGGGGGCACAAAAAACTGGGAGGGGACACAGCCAGGACAACTGACCCCAAATGGCTCAAGGGATATTCCAGACCATGTGGCACCATGCTCAGTGTATGCACTGTGGGAAAGCTGGATGGGGCCACTGCTTGGGAACTGGCTGGGCATCAGTCAGTGAGTGGTGAGCAACTGCACTGCGCATCGATTGTTTTGTATATTCTATTTCTTTTATTATTATTATTACTTTCCCTTTCATCTCTGTTCTATTAAACTGCCTTTATCTTAACCCACAGATTTTACTCTTTTTTTTTTTCCTCTCAAATTGTCTCCCTCATCCCACTGTGGGGGGAGTGAGCGAGCAGCTGTGTAGTGTTTAGCTGCCTGCTGGGTTAAACCATGACACTTATTTAATCCAGCAGACAGTAAATGTGGCAGCCCAGCCATTTCCCTCCTGCCTGGCACAGGACCTGTTGGAAGAAAAGTGATTTCATGCCTTTCCGGAATGGTTTCAGGATTTTAAGAGACTGAGTCTGCCCAGCCACAGGGCAGCAATGGGGTGGTGGTGCAGCAGTACACTCAGCCTATCAGGTGTTTAAAAGTGTAAGGTGATTTCAGGGTATCCCCAAGAGCTTCCTCACCTGGCCTTGGCCCCCCGTTCCTCTAGCAGTGAGCTCGACCGCTGTCAAACCAGGCAAGCACAGTTCTCTGCTGCAACAGTGCAATTGCAATGGAGTTATTTAAAATAGTGGCACTTTTAAAATGAGTTTTGGGTGCAGAGCTATTCTCTGGCACAGCTCAGCTTTGCCTTTTCTCCCCTCGTAGGGCCATTCTTGTCCTGAAAGACAACGTTGTGCCCATGAGCAGCGAGTTCACACCTGAGACAGAGAGGCAGCGAATCCAGCACTTGGTGAGCGACCCCTTCCCTGCATCAGACAATCCAGCAAGCAACCCACTGGGTAACAAGGGGTGCTTGTGGCAAGAGGACCACCAGCTTTCCTTGAAGGCCACTGTGTGGCCAGAATGTCAGCTGGCACTAGCCAGAGAGGGCTGGGGGTGAGATTCAGCCAACAGTCTTCAGTATGGGAGAAGCTTATGCCCTCACTGGAATGTGCTTTCCCAATTCTGTTCTCCATTCTGCTGCTGGGAGTGCCAGCCCCAAGGCAGAAGTACCTTTGGTACCCTCCTGTGCTGAAGCAGAATCTGTCCATCCTCACACCTTCTTTCCCTCCTCCAGGCTTTTCTTTTCCCAAAGCTCCTGGATGGAGAGTTTACACGCTTCGAGTTTCCACGGAGGTTGAAGGGAGATGACGTGGGCCAGAAAGTTCTGTACCGGGATTACTTCATGGAGGGCTGGTGAGTCCTTTCTGCCTGAGGATAAGGCTGTGCCTCAGGGCACCTTTACCTGCTCGTAGGAGTGAGGAGGTGAAGGGAGAAGGGGTGTCTCCTCCTGCTGAGAGCTGGGCTTGATGGTGGTGAAGGACACTGTGAGCAGGTCCCTCTGACTGAAGGACCGGGGCCTTGGCAGGGTGGTGAGAAAACAATTGAGATGGTCCTTCTGGGATCCACTGAGGTGGGGCTGGTACAGGGTGGGGAGATAGGGCAGAGTGAAAAACACCTGGGCATTCAGCAAGAGGTCACCTTCACTGCATCTGCTGCAGCAAGTCATACTGCCCCTTCCCCAGTGAGCTGCCTGTGCATGGGGATGCCACAAGGGTTGAATCAGTTGAAATGCTCTGGCTGGGTTGTACCATCAAGTCAAACAAATTAACAGTGAATTCTCTGTTCCAGGGGATACAAGACGGTGGAGAAAGCTGACCTCAAGTATCCTCTTGTCCATGGTCATGGCAAGCAGGTAGCTTAATGCTTTACACACTGGGAAGGCAGAGGCAAGTCTGCTGGGGGCCCTCAGTGTCCCTGTCACTCACGGTCACACTCCAGGGCACTATGGCAGATGGGCTGCAAAGCACCCAGTGCTCTGGGGCTCTCCAGCATGGTACAGCCCTGACACAGCAGCTCCCTTTGCTGCCTGGTTGGTGTAAACCAGAGCTCTCTGGAGCAGAGTCTGCACCCTCCTCCAGAGTACAGCTGAGCAGACAGCAGCCCTGAGCCAGCCTGCCCTTTCCTCTTCTTCCTTTGCACACAAGAATATATTTCAGATGAGAACTTACTTCATCAGCTCCCACTTGGGATTGTCTCCTCTAGCTCTAACTAGTGCCTTTCCCACAAACTGTCTTCCTCGAGGAGAGGCTGAGAAAAGGAGCCTGGAGAGGGAAAGAGGAGGCAGGAGAAGCAATGACTGCACACATCCCAGTGTCTGCCTGCTGGGGACGAGCAGAAAGTACCATCACCCCCCCAGCAATACAACCCACATGCCACCCCCTATGCAGAGTCAGTGCAGAATCTCCTTTGCCAGGAGAAAGGGACACCCTTCCCCTGCTCCAAACCAACTCAGTTTTCTTCCTTGCCACCTCAGATCAAGAGCAGATGCTGCTATGGGCTTCATGAGGTCTGTAGCATTGCCCAGAGCACAGGTACTAACTCCAGAGCACCATGGGCCAGCAGGAGCCATCCACATATGCAGGCTTTCTCCACACTCACATCATGCCATTGCTTCTGGTCACTCCTCCATCTCCAAAGTCTCCAGAGGCTGTTCTGGGTGATGCTTGGAGAAAGGTCTTAAAGGCAGCACACAGATCAATCAGGACAAACCACACATCAGCCTTTAAAGGTGCCACATCCTTATGTTTCAATCCTGTTTTGCTTTGTTTGGGGCCAGGCTCGCTTGCTGGGGACTCTGGCTGTCTCTCGAGGCCTGGGGGATCATCAGCTCAAAGTCATCGACACCAACATTGAAGTCAAACCTTTCCTCTCCTGCATTCCCAAGGTCAGTTGCAAGATGGGAATTAGGGTTGCAGCAAGTTGCAGCACATGGGAATCGTAGGATGGAATTAAAAATGGTGCTCCTCCTCTGTAGCACCTTTTACAGACTTGGCAGGTCTTAGCCATGTCCTTTCTCCACCCCGCTTCTCTCTGGCCATGCTGCCCAGAGAATCACCAAGACAGAGGAATCTAGAAGCACAGCAGGAAGGGGACATAAAAGATTCAAAGCACCCTGGTCCCACTGTGTCATCTCTCAGGGGAAGTCTCATCTCCCTGACCCCTGTGTTACATTGCAGGAATTGTCACAGATTCACTCCTGTGTTTTCCAGGTAAATGTGTTTGACTTTGCTCTGCATGACATTAAGGAAGATGATGTCCTCATCATGGCAACTGATGGCCTTTGGGATGTTCTGTGCAACAGCGAGGTGGCCCACATGGTCAGGAGCTTCCTTGCAGAAAACAGGACAGATCCTCAAAGGTAACACCAGCTTTGTCATTGTTTTCCCTTCCAAAGAGCTTGGTCAGACCTAAAGCAGGCTGAGGTCACTCTGCTTCCCGGTCAGCTCTGGCACGACCAAGCACTCTTTTCTGTGATTCTGAAAACTGCCTCCTAATCTTTCCCCATCCTAAAGAAACAATGATAAAGGTGGTGTCTTAAAAAACCCTGCTATTTTGACAACATAAAGCCACATCTCAACATTGCTCTTAAGGGGAATAGTGCCATGTTAACCCAAACCCTGCATTTTTCCACCCACAGATTTTCAGAACTGGCCAAATGTTTGGTGTGCAGAGCAAGGGGAATGAAGAGAGGCCACCAGTGGATGCTGGATGACAGCCATGAGGCATCCTATGATGACATCTCTGTATTTGTCATTCCACTACACAACAAGGAGGAGGACTGACTGTTAGGATGACACGCAGAACCTCTGTGTTCCCCCACTGTGGTGCCGTTCAGCATCAAACCGAGACTGAGGGATTTCTGCTGTGTGTACACACTCTGTTCCAGCAAAATCATTTGCAGTGGAACCTGAAAATGCACAGCCAGCACTTAACAGAGGATGAACAAGATTAGCTCCTTAAAAACTTGCAAGAGAGCAACACTGGGCAACAAATCATTCCCCTTTCTCGTTGTTGGGCCAAGGGTAAATTGCAAAGGGGGCCATGCAAGCTGAAGGGTACTATTTCCAATATCTCTGCGGTACAGCAACACTCAAATCCATATTTCTACTGAACCTTCTCCCTTTTTAATACTGAACAGTAAGGATCAATTGAGATCCACCCAGTGTGAAAAGCTGGCTTTTAATCAGACTTGAACTGGATGCATAAGCTAAAGCATCTCTCATATGCATTTGCTGTAATGTGAGATGTGCTGAAAACCCAGGAGCTGCTGCCAAGCCAGCACTGGGCACAGCCGTGCCTGCGGCATGGGAACACTGGAGCGGGAGCCCAGACCTTGAGACAGTTGCCATTTGTAGGCAGCACCACCTCAAACCAGACGATGTTGGCTGGTGAAGCTACACACTGGTGTACAGGAGCCTCCTGTGCAAAGAGACGTACGTGCCTTACTGTTATTGAGGAACATTGTATTGGTAGCACAATGTACAGATTTCTAACAAATCTTAGTCCACATTGCTGACACTTTTTCTATTCAGGTCATTTCTGACAGCAAAGCTGGTTTTGTAGCAGGAGCACTGATGAGAACTGAAGTGTCTCCATATATCAGGTGATTTAGTAAAAGAGCTCCAAGTAAAATAAAACCGGTTTGTTGCAATTTGTCTGCAGTGTTCAATCTCAAGCACTTACACTCATTCCAACAGGAGCCGCAGCACAGCAGACATGCCAGAGTTGTGCCTTAAACTCAGAGGATCTGCTTCTCAACCCGTTCATTAGCCAGGCAAATTCAGGTCTGGACAAGCTTCCCCATCTCCCGGAGTCCCCACTTTAGTTTCCATTATTCATTACACAGGTTCCAAGATTCCCTAGAGCACCAGCCAAACCCACCAGCGTGTGTTTAAGTTCCACAGTGATTAAAGTCCAAATAAAAGTACTTTATTTTTTTTTTCCCACGCATCTTAACTGTGGTGTTATTCCTGTTGTGGGTTTCACACAGACCTGGGCTGGAGAAACACAGCCTTAGAAAATCGCAGGGGAGATTTTGCTTTGTATTTCTCTTTGCCAAGAAGCAGTTTGTCACTAGAGGCGTTCCCTTACCAGTACTGCCCCAAGGGCTTGGTGCCAAAAGATGATTTTCTGCAGTGGGAGGAAATTCCCCCCAGGAATGGGACAGCTTTCTCAGCTACCTGCTCATGGTTTAAGCAAGGACAAAAAGCATTTCTCTCCGGCTTCACTTTCCCCCCACCCTCTTAAGTTTAACCTGACAACAATGCACATGGGGGTTTGCCCATGTTAATGACGTTGGCTGCTGTCCTCCCTTCAGCAGCTGTAACACTACATTTACATGCACTGACTTTAATGATCCAAAATTCCTGTTACTCAAATCCAACAAGTTTTTTTTTTCACCTTCATGCTGCGAAAGGCTCAGCTCTTCCATCCAGACCACAGGTTGGATGCAAACAACCCTCTCCCTAGGGCACCATACCTCCAGAAGTAGCTTGTCACAAGGCTGCTTCCCTATCTTGATACATTCCTAGGCAAGAAAAACCTCTTTAAAAGAGCAATTTACGTAAGGATAACTTCAGAGAATCACAATTTCCACTACAGAGTTTTTGACTTTCCAAAACAAAGGGGCTTTTCAAACAATGGATGATTTTCCCAATCCCCCTCTTAAGAAACCAGCAAGTTGTATCACACTGGACAAACGCAGAATTTACAGCACTCAAGTGATGTCTCTACAAAATATTTATTGGTCACAGCCACAACACTGAATTCTCCATGTATGTAGTATTTTGTGACAAAGCATAATTTGACTTTATGTATTTACACTCATCTGGGAGATACCACTGAGGAGTCCAACTCCCCATAGCAGCTCATGACCACAGAGACCAAGTTTCCAAAAGGCTCACCAGGTTCCCAGCCCCTGACCCAAACCCAAGGTGAAGTCTCTTAAAGTGCTAATACAGTCAAGAGGCGTTGGAAAAGATATGCTGCTGTTTCCAAATTTGTCACTGAATCACTCCTGTGTTCCCCAGAGCAGGTGTTGGGACATTAACCAAGGACCTGGGCACTTCAATAAAAATCATAAAAGTCTCTCAAGACTGACTTGGAGAATTACATGTGAAATCTCCTACAGCCCAGGCAGATGTGCTCAGCCACCACCACTGCTTATTCAGAGGTGGGCTGTTGAGTCTCACTTCCCCCTTGTTTTGAAGAAAGGTCTTTATTTCATCCCAAAGAATAAGGAGGCATTCACCTTTTAAACATCAAACTGGGAGGGGGAATGCTGTTTCCTGCTTGTCTTGGTTGGCCACTCCATTAGACCTGGAAGGGCTGTTTTTCTTGAGGTCTATTTCTCATTAGCTGGCAGCCCTGAGGGACACAGGAATTGCAGCCCTGAGACTCCTAGAGAAGCACATAGAAGCTGGAAGCTAAAAGCTTTATTCACCTTTTCTGTCTAACCGTCTAGAAACACATTATCCTAAAGTTCCTTGACAATACTTGGCACATTTCCTATTTTTGAAGGCAGATGGAAAACACTTGGTGCTACATCAACAGAGATGTCTCTGCCTGTGTGGGTGGCAACGGGTCCTGGGAAGGCTCAGCTGTAACCCTGAACTGAGCACTACTGCTATTGTGCACAAGCCTGTACATCCCTCTCTTCACTCCAGAAAGCCACTGATGTGCTTGTATGTTCTCCTAAACCACTCCTCTGGTCCCCTTTTCCTTAAACATTTCATGCCACCACTCACTATCTTTCACAACATTGCAAGCAGAAGAGAGCTGAACAACAGGCTTTAGAACTGTCTAAAGCAACAGGCTTTAGACAAGTGCTCAGACCACATTAGCAAAGAACATTTGTAAAATAAAAGACTTTCAAAGGCTTCCTTGTGAAAAGGAACAAGGAATACAGCCAGAGGCTATCTGTTCACTTCCTCAGGCAACACACTTGATAAAATCCTCCAAGATCATTTACTACTGAACGCTGAAGTTTAACTGTTAAGATGCACTACAAACCCCAAATACCTGCATGTTACAAACCACTGCAAAATACCAACAAAGGTAAAACTGCACCAAGCAGCCTGAAATGCATTACTACTGAGATGGAGTGGCTGAAGCCTGAGACAACCACCTCCCTTTGCCCTGGGCAGTTGCATTTATAGGCAGCAGAGGGACAGTATGGAAAGAGGGACAGCATGAACCTCTTGTCTGCACCTCCAGCAGCAGGCCTGTGTGGCAAGAGGGAAAGCATCCATCAGTTTGCCAGAGGACATCAAACTCACATCACAGATCTGTGGTTAGAAATGCCTCCTGTGGCAGCATCAGCAGGGACAAGCCACAGCACTGACAGAGAAGGTTCAGCCACACCAGGGATCCAAGCCCCACGTTCTGAGCCTCCTGAGGGACTGCTCCTGCCACTGTCACAGGCTCTGCACACGCTGCTGCTCCGTGAACAGAACCAGCAGTGCAGAAATGCTCAGTGCCCATCCCCAGCTCTTAGCACAGCATGGTTCCACTGACAAGGACAAAAGGCAAGAAAATGCAAAACACAAGCAGATTTACTTTTCCAGGGAGACATGATGTGAATGACAGACAGGGAGGGCCCCACAGCTGAAACAACAAACTTTGCTGTAACAGGGGAACATGAGGACAACTGACAGAAGGAAAACACTCGAGCACAGTTCACAGCACGGACCAGCACTCAGAGCAGAGAGAACACACCCATTACTGTCTGGCCACCTTGCCAGCATTTCATATTTATGAGCAGGGCAGAACACGTGACCAGGCAAGGAAAAGAACTGACTTCCCAAGCTGTGATCCAGCACATTAAACCAAGTGTGTTTGGAAAGGCAAGAATACAGTGAACACCACATTTCTGCCAAGCCTGTCCCAGACTGCTTGTGGATGCATTCCACCATTGCAGCATTTCAGGAAAAACAAACTGGAACCAACCTAAGACCAGCTTGCCAGCCTTTCTGTGCCACTCACCCACAAGCCCCTCCAAGGCAGGAGAGCAGGTTCCTCCCATCTCTTTGCAGAGACGTTCCTTGGAGCAAGACCACAGCAAAGCAGGGTCAGCACAATCACGCCTAAGATTTTTAAAATTAATTTCCTGAAGACACCATCTGACAAAGGATGCATCACTCTTGAGGGGCTACCACCAGAAACCTGCAGACCTGTAACAAACTGCACAATGGACTAACTGCATGTCAGTTTTACCAACAAAGGGATACAGGTCTAAGCCTGACGTGGGAAGAGTTTCACGGAGCATATTTACAAACCATGGGGTGAAAAACTGCATCAGTGAAGGTAAACAGCCTAGACACTCCACAATACTGGCCCACATCATATTCTTTTATATCTAAAAGTAAAAAAATATGGCCCATTCCCACTGCCCACCCACCCCACGATATTTACAAGTAAGATCAGCCAAGATGGTACATAAGGAAGATACACAGGCAGACTGTGCTTTCAGTCTCAGTTTGGTTTCTCCGTCTTCCTGCTGACAGACTCCTTTATTGCTTGGGACACTGGCTGGACCTCACAAGTGCTGTCTGTGCCTCCAGGATGCTGGCACAGCAAACAGCAGGGAGGCTTTGGGAACCTCTGGCAGCAGACAAAACCTGTACAGTTGCACTCTAAATCTCCAAAAAAAGGATGACGAGATGTATCAGGTACATTCACAGTCACCCACGCTTCTGGTGTGTGTTCCACTGCAAGAGAATTCAGCATCCGCTGCTGAAGTTGAAAACTGTCAGTGTTCACGTTTGGCACAGAAGAATTTGCATTTGTGGACTGCAGTGAAACCAGAGAGATCCCAGATGTTAAAAACATGCACTTATGGGAAGGAACTGCACGTTCCACCTTGGAACATCAATAGCCTTGTGCACTTACAGCAGAAAAACACACAATTACAGCTTTAAAAAAATCCCACAAACATTTTGTAAATAAAACAGACTTCACCGCCCTTAGAAATAATACTGTGTCAGTTCCAACTTGGGCTAAAGCCGTGCTGGACACGGACTGGAAGGTAAGAACATGTAGCATGCTGCTTCTGAACGTGTGGAGCAGTCCTCACAAAGGAATGCTGCAAACAAAGGTAAGACATGGAAAATATGCAGGAACAGGAACACAGTCTAGGAGACGTAGGCAATTCCAACGCTACGCTTGCAATGATGTGCTGCTGTTACCGTGTGGAAGTCATCCGACAGCAGCTGCAGCGGAGGAATTAGTCGTCAATAGTTGGCAACCAGAAGGCCTAAAGAGGAGGAAGGAAAACATCTACTCAGAGCAGAACACAAATTTCTCCTACAACACGCTGCAGGAGCTGATCATTGCTACTTTCTGTTAGGCAGAGACTACCAAAGAGGCAGTAACATCTTCTCAGCAGTTTAAGGTTACAATCCTTGCTTTGGCTTGCACTGCATGTTCTCCAGAGCAAGCCAGGCTTACACAAATTGAAAATACCAGCAGTGTGCAGGGATCTAAAGAACTCCTCCTTCTGTGTGCACACTCACTGCTCTGCTCTCATGTGCATGTTTACACGCTGGTTGGCCAGGTGTGCTGCCCCACACATCTGCCTGCCAGGTATGGCACAGTCAGGGTGTAACAGACAGGCCTGGCTCCCACCAAAGCCTGAGGCAATACCCAGCAGAGGAACTGAGCCTTCTCAGATTCATCTCCAGAAGGGTCAGCACCTCACGGAGCTCAGAGGAACTTAAAAGCATTTCCTTACCATATTGGAACATGCGCTAGCGAAAGTCATGAATTTTGGATTGAACTGTAGACAGGTTATGGGACCTGTGTGTTTCCCATCCAGCACAGCCACCTTCATCCCACTTTCCCCATTCCAAACATGGATCTTTCCATCCTCTGAGCCTGCAGGCAGGAGGGAAAACAAGATATGCAAGATACACTGGAGAGGTCAGCAGAGAAAAAAAAAAGAACATAACCTTTCCTCTCAGAACTGTAGAACAGGCAGGTCTCGACTTCACAGCCTAACTTTAAGAGTTCTCAAAGGGCACTTACAAAGCGTCTCTACAGTTTACACACCTGCACCCAGACAGCAGGTTTGTACCTTTGTACTGCAGAGACTCAACTACACAAACAGGGTGCAACACTATTCAGGTAAAGATGTTAGCAACTACTGTCACCCAGGAGAAAAGGAGAGCTGACACCCTCCAGCCATGAGGAGAGACCCCGGCCAACCTGCACCAACATGAGAGAGGCCAAGCACTGGGGAAAGAGTCATTGTTCACACAAGTTCTCAGTTCAGACACGGATAAATATTTCACTTGGTGAGCAGAGAATCAAACCAAAGCTTTACCATGGGAGGCACTAGATTTCAATGCACTATGCCAAATATCAGAAGCTTCCCTGGAGATGTCAACTCTCCACATGGCTACAATGGAAAAGGTTTTGCTCTTTAAAATGGCATTTTTCAGACTCTGAGGCTGAGAACTTTAAATTTTTATAATTCTGTTCTGCTTTAGTCTCATTTTAAATACAATTCCTAACAAAAATGCAAGGAATTTTCTCCTGCTTCTGGTATTTACGTCTATAACCTTTCAGGACAGAAAAATTAAGAAGCAAAAGTTGCAACTTAACCATATGTAAAAACTAAACAGAAGCAAGTGGTTTAGAACTACTTGTACTATAACTTTCATGTGGAAGGTCACAACAGGAAGGTAAATATGTGCAATAAAGTGCTCTCCAGAGACAGACTAAACAAAGAGCCCCACCCCTCTTCTCTGCAATCAGGAAGTTCTCAGCCAGAACCCAAGAAAAGAAGCTTTGCCAAGACCGTCACTCATCCAGGAAAAATGAGGATCCAGATACCAATTATCACGAAGTTAAACATATTTGGTACCAGCCAAATAAACAGGAACAAAAAGAAAAACTGCTGGGAGGGGCAGCACCACACAGACTCGTCTGACTTGTGTCCACAGGCAGCAGAGTGACTGAAGTGCTTATCTTGAGATGCAGCACCAGGCTGTACAGGAGTTGCAAACTGCCTTTTGCCACCTGCTTCCCTCAGGAGTCCATCCCACAGAGGGTGAGAAAAAGGACCTGGGCCAAGGGAATCATATGCTGAGAGCCATCAGGCTGACGACTACAACCTCTATTAAGGGATAAGCAGAGCTTGCTCCAGAGACATGGGGGTTTACAAGAGCCACATGAACAAAATGCAGCTGCCCCAGCATGTCACCAGTGCAGGAACATCCTCAGAGGTGCACAAACACACCAGGCTCCAAGACCAACTGCCAAGCACAGACAGGTGCCTTGGTCATAAGCAACGGGGGACAGGCCCCAACACAACTCCAACGTGCTTTGAGGCAGCCCATGAGAGCACCCCAGCCACTGGGTGAGAAACACTGACATAATTTATGTGACAGGTCTTCCCACATTACAACACTTTGCTGGTTTCTTATCTATATTGGAACAGCACTCATATTTAAAGGAAAAAAGTCTTCATGCAGGCTTGTTTACATTTCAGTCTAGAGAACGCTGAGTAAACTAACAGAACACTGTCAGTGCAAAGAAAGCTTACAGCTGCATTGTATTATTTAAATACATTCTGCTTCCCAACAGACACAGCTTTAGCCCTACATAACACACCTAATTTCAGAGCACTGGAATTCTTTCCAAGAATTATCTTACCTATCATGATGAACTGAGAGTCTGGTGTGAATGATGCCTCCAGCGTGACAGCCTTACTATTGTTATAACCCTATGGCACAAAACAGGAGAACACATAGTAGAGAGTGTGTCCACAGCAATCTCACAACCAAAGGGCACCTGCTCCCAAAACTAACACCAAGTTCCAAGCAAGGATCAGAGGCAGCAGGCTCACCCCAAACGTGTGCAGGACAGCCCCTTTGAAGGCATCGATGAGCCGGATGAACCCGCCGTTGGTCGATATGAGGATGAGTTTCCCATCATTGCTGAACTTCAGGCCTGTCCATTCACACGTCCGCTCATATTGCATCTTAAACGTGGCAAATGGCCCCTGCAGAGAGAGAAATGGGAAACAGGATGAAGACTTTTTATGCATTGCTGCTAACAAGAGTCTGTTTTTAACCTTAGCTCAGGAAAAATAAGATTCTTTTTTAAAGGGAAATCCTTAGCCCTAAGATGCCAAGAGTGTCATGGCAAACGTCACTGCATGTGCACATTTCAACATATGAATCCACAGCTTCCAAAACAAAAAAGACCCAAAGTAAGCTGTTTCAATCCAATAGTTTCATACTCTACCACATTCAACAGCAGAAATTAATTTAAGATAGGATGAAGTTTTGAAACAAGGCTGCTAAATGAAGGTAAGAGTTTGAGCCAGCGTAACTGTCATGTGATTTTTGGAGACCACGGAAATCACTATGCTCAGTGTTTAGTTCAGCTGTCCACCCAATTATAGTTTCCTTTGAAATTTCCACCCTTTCCGACAGTCCTGGCTCCATCTTTGTCAGTCTTCTTCCAGAATCAGCAGCAAGGAAAAAAAAACAAACCCAAAATTCCCTAACAAAAAGCCGAAATGGGGGTTTGGAACAGGTTAAAGTGTTACCAGAACATTGGTTCAAGAGCGTAATGCAGGATTTGGTGACAGCACGTATCTCTTTCTGCCTGTGATGTGTGTGCTTACTGAGAACTCTCTGGATGCCAAGGAGGCACCCCAGACAGTAAGCTGGAGCACAGAAATCCAGTCTCTGAGCACTGAGTTTAGACTATTTCTTGCAAGCTAAAAACTCTAAGGTAGATCACCTTGTCAAAAGAACGGAGGTCATAGAGCTTCACCATTTCAGTATTGACTCCAGCAGCAAAAATCAACCCTTCTGGGTCAAAAGAACACACAGGCTTCCCCTGGAGATGCATCAAGCCCTAGAAAATAGAAATAGTCAACATTATTTTGCAAAACTGATGCTTGCTTTTCTACCATCACTTTTTGAGCCCACTGTGAGCAGAACAGCAGACCAGGGGTGGAACAACATTTCAATTGTAAATACTGAGGTTTTACATAGCTTCAGAACTCAGTGAGCAAGCCAATGCTCAGGGCCTGGTGAGTGGGCCAGCTCTGATTTCCCGGGAATGTTCCAGGCAATGTGGCTGCCATCTCATGGGCCAACTGAAAACTACAAGTAACACTTCCTCAACCTGTTTCCCAAACTTGGCTGGATGTAGCGTCCCGTTACAAGTCCTAGTTTTACCATTCTTACAACTTCAAGCATTAGGATAAATCACAGAACTGCTGCTGAATTTACAACCCCATCTCATTTGTAGCAACTTGGAGACTGAGATTCATCCCGAGGGAAATTTACAGGCTGGCACTAAAGGCACACTTCCACAGGAAGGCAAAATAAAGACTTCTTGTCAGAAAAAGCTCAGTTTTAAGACAGATAAAACCATTTAGTAAGAAATGTGACTTTGTCTTCCTTTTGTATTTACAGATACATCATCTGGAATAAGCAAACAGCCCTTTCTCATAAGCAAAATAGTCCAAATGAGATGGAAAAATATAAGAGCACAATACTATGTGTCCAGATATAGGGACAAAACAGCTCACCACCACTAAAGGTGGAGATTCTACTCCCAGTCTTTCATTCCTGTCACTGTTGCCAGCTCTGGTACTTTTCTCAACCCACACAAGCCTGCTTCCACTAAAAAAGTGAAGTATTCCAGCAGAATAAATAAAAACAAACAGGGTTCTGCCTTGCTAGGAAGTTAAATCTGCTTACAAAGGGTTCTGATGAACCACAGAGGTGATGCAAGGCAATCCTAGGACCATATGGCTGCTTTGTTACTTTAGATCATCAGTTTCTTCATCAAATTTAATTGCACCAAGGCACCAATTTTAGACACAAACTACAAACACTCAGATAAGATGCATTTCCAGCCCAGGAGGGATGCCAGCTAAGAGAGTAGCAGTCTGATGAACAAGCTGATGACACCCAGCCCTTCTCTTGTTTCATCAGCTGTGGGTGTTCTTCCTTGCCCTCTGCAGTGCCTCTCCAGCAGAGACACAGGTGAGAGCGAGTGGTGTCACACAAACCACACAGAGATTCCTCATCCAGGCTGCTTCAGCATTCCAGGAAGGGACCGACACTAAATCAGCAGCACGTGCTTCTGGCAGTATTTTTGCTTTGTAACGCGCACACATCCATTTTTCATACTTCTAAGTGAAAATGCAACACTCTGTGAGCATGAATTTTATAATCTACCTGGCAATTGGGAGAGCGGAGATCCCAAAGTCGAATAGTTTTATCGAGGGATCCAGAAATAAAAGTATCATCCACTGGAGACATTGAAAGAGCAACCACCCTGCAACACAGAAGCCCACGTGCATCAGAGATACATAAAAGAAGTGCATAGAGCAACACCCACCCCAACAGCTGTGTACAACCTCATAATTGCCAAGAACAGAGTGAAAAACAGTGTGAACCAAGTGTAACAGAACTCAGGCTTCATTACAATTGTTGTTTCAATTTCTGCTGTCCTGTTTCCAGGCCACATCTTACCTTTTTGTGTGCCCTGGGAAATACCGAATGTATTTGTTGTCATGCAGGGAGAGGTATCGGATTGTATCTGAAAACATAAACAAACCATAAGCTTTATTATACCATGAACCCAACAGTATCTAAAAGTTACTGATCACACAGTAACTTGCTCCCCGAAGCAACAGCAATCTCACCAAAGTGAGTAAGTCTGGTCATTTGATTTCAAGTCATCTTTTCAAAAAGAATCAAATTAGAAACAGACATAAAGCAATTCGGTTCTTCTCAAGGCAGAAGTGAAAATCAGGTAACAGGAAAAGGCACTTCCCACAGTCTGAAGTCACATTACATTTTAAAGACAAAGTGTCACGTGATTTATGCAAGATAATTTCAAAGGCACTAAAATTTAAGTACTAGCAGGTTTCATTCCAGCATTCTCACAAAATGAAGAATATCAAATTTACAAAGGTGATGCTACTGCTTTTTATTGCTTTGTAGCATGAATCTTGCTGTCTTTCCTGCATAGAAATTCAGTAAACAAATCTCCAACTAAGCAGTACATACAGGAAATGTGCAAATTCTGCCATTCGGCTAAAGATAAAAACATGAATTTCAAAGCCAGGACAAGACCATTAAAAACTAGCACATCTCTCTGATTTTTGTTTAATCTGACAATGAACAGCCTCACACTTTCCCTGCACTTAGAGCAGCTAAGCTTTAAGAAGAGGACAGAGGAGTAATCTAAAGCTTAGTCCACGTAAAGTAACATTAAAAATAAATGGAATAAATAAGAGCAGCACCACAACATTTCTCAAGTGCCAATTTTACCCTGAGTATAGATGAATATACCAACAGTAGCCAACACTTTTGGAAGATGCTGTTGGGACTTTCTTCCAAAATTACAAGAAATCCTTGTAAGAGGAAACCATTACTAAAGCACATAAGCCACTTTTTAATTTTTATGTGCAGACTCTGTAGCGCTGGAACAAGTCCTGGTGAGGCTCCAAAGAGAAACTGAGGGAAAAGGACATTTTTCCTTTTGAGTCGGAAGAACGAGAGCCAAGAGGAGGCAACAAGCACTGGGTGTCTTAACACTCAGAAGGTCTACTGTGTTCAGGGCGTTTTGAAAGGCTCATTCAGAAAAATTTTGTATCTGTGATAAAATTATCAAGTTCCCATTTTTGCCTAAGATTTCTCACCAAGCTGAGACATCCCCCTCCAGTATTTGACCAGAAAACTGAACGGCACATTGTCGACTGACCAAGCTGGAAACGTGCTGCTGGTGACACACCACTCTGAAAGGCTCTAAGTGACCTGAGGTGATTATCCAAAACATAAATCCCCACTGCCAGTGTCACATCCCATCCTGGGAACACGCTTCAGACATTCTGTTAAGACACATCATTTCCTGCAAGAACTGTCGTTACCTGATTTCCGAAGTATCCATGCGGAATCCCATCTTCTTTGCTAAAGAGGAAGCACTGTGGAATGTGCTCCCTTGTGATCCTGGTTGCTGGTAGTGCTCTGTCCCAGGCAAGGCAGTGGCCTGTACAGTTATCTCCTGTACCGGGTGGTATCATAGACCCTCAAACTGTACAAACTACTACCTCAGCCTGGCATCAGGCAAGAGGAACTAGGTCCAGGGATCTTCAGGAAGTCTTCACAAGTACATTGGTAGCAACTCCAACAGAGAAAATGCTTGGAAACAAGCACCAGCATTCCTATAGCATGTTTTTGAGTTAATTTTACCTCCTGATACCTGCATAACGGGTTAAATACAATGTACCTTGCCCAAGACCACATTTAGCAGGGACTAGAGAGTATCTGGACTCCTACAGAACACACTGTCAGTTTTATTAGGCTTACAGATCATAACAGCAACATTCTCACATTCTATGGGTCATTTTTCTTCTAATTAAGTATTTATCATAATGCTAGCCTGCAGGACGAAGACTCTTTAGTCTTAAGGCTTACCAGTGTTTATAAGCAAAATCTCACAATTCAAAATGGCATTAAAAATGCTTAATTAAATTGTTAGTTATTAATTATTGTAAATTAAATAACAGGCAAATAAAAAAATGTGACAAAGTAACAACATAATCAAAAAAATTAAGTAGGCTCTGAAACAGCCTAAAAAGGCAAGTGCTTCCAGTCACACTTTTAATCCTTTTATACCATTAAATCCAATTCCATTGAAGACTTCCTTGTTCCTCTGGTTTCAGGCCTTAACCTGACTTCCTAATTCTTAACTTCCACCTGCTCTAAATTCAGTCTTTGAAATTCCTTTAGTAATCTAGCACACATCACAAGGCACCAGTAGCTCTACTGTCAAGCTCCATCTCTGCAAAGGAAAAACCCAACGAAAACCTCTATTCCAGAAATGATTATGAGTTTACAAATATAATGTTAAAACCCATTTATAAAGTGCTGTGCTAAGAGACTTGTTCACTGCAAAACTCTCAGACACTGACTACAGCAAACAAAACTGAAACACATTTTGAAATAAACATGAGCTGTTTCCAACCTCAGGAAGCATTAAGGTACATATCTGTGCCAGTTGTTACATTTGAATTTTAAATCAAACTCAATTAATAGAGAGCCTGTCACGAAGATCTAGAAGCCCTTCAGTGTCAATGATTTAGAGTGTAGCTATCACAGACATTGTGTGGAGAAACAGCATAAAAATGGGTCTTCTGTCTAGTACACAGACAGAAACAGGCGATGAGAAGCAAAGCTCATCTCTGAAGAGCTCTGTGACCTCCTCCAGGCTTGGCTGGTGATCTGCTGAGTTACCTGAACCTCCTGCCCTGCCCTCCTGTGCAGCTGAGTTGTGTGTGTACCAGACAGAGCTATGGCATTCAGCCCACCTGCCCCTTCCACCTCATTCACATGTAGGAAGTTAAGGTGCAGAGGCTGACTGACAGCACTGGTACCAAAAACCAACTGAACAGCAGAACTAAGAACCCAACTTTTATTTCACTAACAATGTTCAGTCCCTTAGTTATTGCAGCAAAGAACAAATCTCACATCAGCATGCTCGAGGGACTATCACCAAGTTGTGCATTAGTGTTGGACAGTAATTCCTCTGTCTCTGGCAGAGTGCTCACCACTGCAGAGTTGCTGTAACTTTTTCCCAGATCTTCAGAGCTAATTATCCAGACATGCAGTGCAAAGAGATACAATATGCTCCACTCCAGTGGCTCACTTACCATCTATTTTGTTGGAGCTGTACACGACAGTGTTGGCAGCATGTGTGTACCTGATGAGGTCCACTCCATACTTCTTACTGTACAACGTTCGCTTTGGTCTGTCGGGAGGAAGCAGAAATAATTGCACTCACTGCAACAAAAAGCTCAAAACGAAACTCACACTAACAAGGCCTGTCTCCATTCAGGTATTACATCATGGTTTCAAGTAGTCCGATGTTTTTATACATAGAAAGAAAAGCTTTTGTATTTGATTTGCAAAAAAGGACCTCGATGTTTCTCCACAACCAACCCTAGGCTTGAGGAGTTCCCTGTAACAACTGCAAAATGCACTTGCCTCCTCCAAAAATTCCTTTTCCCATGATGTCTACAGCAAAAAGAAAAGGAGGAGCTAACATAAGCACAGCAAGCAGCACTGCCTCACTGTGCCCTTGCCCATCCATATCTCCAATTCATCTGCTGCTTATTTCAGATTGAGAATAATTTGTCTTCTTGTTCTCTGTTACTTCAGAACCTAGAACAAGGTGTCTCATTCCTGTGGTAAACATGTATATATACCAATAATCTATAGAAGACATGGTAACACAGGGACTTTTCCAAAGGACTGCGGAATTATATTTGAATCCAATCTTAAAGCATGAAACTCAAATTAAACATTTTGCAACAGAAAGACACTAGTGAGAGTGGACACAATCTACAGAACTGGATTTCTAGGGGGCTGGTAAGCAGGTGATGCACTGCACTACTAGAAATTTAAAGTCCAGAGTAAATCTAGAAGCAGCTGGAGGATCTCAGAGCAGCAGTGCCTGTCTGAGCAGCACAAGGTCTCTACCACCCTCCTTCCCCTTTCGCCCTCAACTGAGGTAGCACAGAGGTTTTTGGGCAGCCAACCAATGAGAGTACTGATCAACACCAGAAATATCACCTCTTCTGGGAGTTATTTTTAATCCAGAAATTCGTAACTCTGGTTATTACATGGGCCCACAAAGTATTTTACCAACACAACCAAAGAGGACAACACGGGAATGGAAACAAACAGCAGGAGTGGTCGAAACCAATGCTGCTGCCAAAGGAAAGGTTTATCAGACTACACCCTCAGACAAGGTATTTCTAATATGCTGGACTTTTTCCTTCTTTTCATTCGCCTCAGACTGACACACCCAAACAAGAGCACAAGTGGAACACTTTTCATATCAGAAGGAAAACAGACATTCATTCTTACAGATTAATTCTAAACAGCAGAAGCCACGGGGCTTTACCTTCAAGTGAACTTGCTGGGGACAAGCTTCCACTAAGTGGAATGCAATACAGAAAGTGTAATGAAAACCCACACACCACCTGTACCACAGACCAAATCTCAAATGATTCTTCCCCAGTTACTGCAGTAGATTGTCAAATGAATTTTCAGATGCAAACACGCTACACACTGAAATCAACACACCAAATTTAAATTTTGACACTCTGTAACATTATGCCTGACATACTTCCCCATACTGCTTTCTGCAGTTACCTCACTTAGGCTGCCACCTATGTAACCATTGGTTACCTCACCTATGACCAAACTGGGGAAAGAAACCCCAACAACAATCCAACAATGGCAAAAAAAAGCCAATCTCAAAACATTAAGACTCTCATAATTTGGCTCATCCTTTTCTATTACAAATTTAAAGCTTAGAAGCTGCTCCTTTCAGAATCAGTGAATACACACAGAGACAACAAAGATCGACAGATGGGCAAAAGCATATTTACCAAAAAGAAGGGAAAAAGGACTTCTGTGCTTTAGGAAAGGTGAAGTTTTCATGTAAGCTGAGACAAGCAGAAGTGTATCACTGCACACAAGGCCAACCACCTGTTGCCAATCCACTATTTTAAACACAAACAAGGAAACTGAGTATTTTTTTAATCAAATCACAATCACTAAACATAATTCCAAGGTCAAGGCTAATATACCCAGCCCACCTGCAAACTAAGCAGTATTGCCAAAGAAAAATACTTTACAATAATCTCAGTCAAATCTGCTACAAAGACGAAACAGAACACAGGTGAGGTTTGTAATATCATCTGTGCCTTGGTCAGAATCACTGCTGCTGTGGGTAAAACATCCTCCACAACCAGGATCATGGATATGCCAAGCAAACACCACAGCCAAGCAGGAGCCAGATCCATCACTTTATTTGCATAAATAATACACAATTGATATACAAGCTTAAATTAAAATACAAGCTAAACCTTTGCTAGAGCACCATCTATCAAATCAGGGTGACGAATGTGCAGCCAGGCTGTTCCCAGCCTCAGGGACTGCTGTACATCACAACATACAACTGCCCTACAAAGTTTTCAGAGTCCCTCCTTAAGCCCAAATATACACAGGTGAGCCTCTTGGAGGGATGGGCTAAAAAACAGCAACAACAATTTAGTTGTTTTCACATTCTGAAACAGAAGTGGTGTCTTGGGACCAAAATTATTGGATGCTCATGAATAAGCAGTTGCTTTAGCCCAGGACATACATGATAAGGAGATAATCTTGTCCTGTCAGCCCTTGGCTACATAGCACCATTTCAACTGCCCTGTCAGAAAGTGAAGTTCACAGAGATGGGGTTGGTCATACTCTCATAGAGCTGTACAGCTCATTTTAGCATTGCAAAACAAAGCAAACCAGGTGAGGCTGTACCTAAAGTATAACCAAACAGCTGCATTTTAATTCTCTCAGCAGAATTACTCATTAATGGGGAACCACAAATTTCCCACTTTTACATGGAAAAAGGTGTTAACTTTCAGGCCATTTGGTGAAGCACAGTATCCTACGCTGAAACCCAGCAAGCAGGACATTTCATGTCCTCCTGGCCATTACATCCATTAGCAATGACATACACAAGCACGTGAGAGTTCCAGGCCCTTGGTGATTTGTACGAGAAAATATAAACTGTAGGCCTGAAACTGCCACACCAACAATCATTCACAGATTTGAGGTTTCATCTTCATATGAATCTTGTGACAAAGTAATTCACAGCTTTCCAGGTGAGAGAAGAAGCACGTCCTGCATCCCTGGATACCTCTAAAAATCCCAGCTACACTTTTAACTCAATTGATACTACATGAGAAACTTTCAAATTAATTTTTATAGCTTTATAACACTGGAGAACTGCATCCTGGCACAGGGGTTACCTTGATGACACTACTTTCATTGCCCTGCAGCAGATGACCATCGATCTACATTTAACTTAATTAAAGCAAACCCTCTGACTACAAAACACACATCAGGACTAGATGTAGATTGGAATGAAAGGACCAAATACCTCCCAACCCATCAAACCATTCTTTACAAGTTTGAAAGGGGAAGAGCAATCAATACCATCTGCATTAACATCACTCAGCCCTGCCACTATTGTATATCATTAGGATCTAGGATACAATCCATGGCAGACTTCACATGTATAGAGTTACTTGTTCTTACATAAATAAAAATTAAATAATTTCACAGAAGACTTCACTCTATCAGATGGGCAACACCAACAACTTTAATGTGTAAAGCAAGCAAATATAAGTCTAAAATAACATAAGTGGGCTATAAAATTAAGAAAATCTGTGGAATGCAATCTTTAATCCCTGCAAGCATGATGTTTTGGTCTGCTTGGAAAAGTAGGAGGATTAGGAACACCTGGTTCACTAGAAAATATACACAATACTGACACATCTACATCCTGATACTCACAAGCCATTTCTTCTTCATTCCTGCCTTACCCTGTCCTTTTTATACCCTCTTCTACAATACACATACTTGTTTTCCTTTCATTTTCTGTGTGGATGTGATGCTCCCTCACCTTGACTTTACAAAAAAAAAAAAAACACACAAAAAAATCACCTCAGAACTACATCTCTACACCAGGAAGCAAACATAAATTAAAACTTTAAATTTAAAAGAATTTAAAGCAGCCAGACCCACATTTGTGACAACTGAGGAAGAATTTAATGGAGTAATGACATCATTTGGCTCAATTTGTTCCAACTCTCACAGAATCCAAATGCCCTCAGTGTACCTTCCAAGCCATCAACTGCAGTGTCACCGTCTGCAGGTTTCCATCCTCCAAACAGGAGCACAAGATCCCAAATGCCCTGCAAATTTCTGGGAGTTTACCCAAAAAACGGGACAAGCATCATGTGATCAATGAAGTGAGAAACACACACCCCTTAACTCATTGCTTTTAAGCAACAGAAGGCAATAAAACCTTGATTGATTAAATGTAAATTAAGACAAGGTTTGAAAGCACGTGTAAATCACACGTGTATTTTAACTGTGCTTTACCAGGTAAGAACCCGACCAGAGAAAAGGATTTAAAGCACGAAGGACCATTTTACCTTCGACGTTCCCAAGTACCACGTGGGAACTGAGTTTTAAGGAAAAACACCATGGGGTTTTTTAGAAGTTACAGCAACACACATATCCAAGAAACGATGGCTGTGAGCAATGTACAGTTGCGCTTTCTCTTTTAATTAGCGACACTGAAGCGCAGAGACACTCGAAAAGTCAGTTTCCTATCTGCAACAATTCCGACGCCTGGAAACACGGCCAGACTCAGCCCCTTAAGCTTGAGTTTAGCCCTCGCAGAAGTGAACCCTCCCTCATACTTGGCAAATTACCACCGCTGCCTCCTATCTAGCGAGATAACAAGCGCGGACACCCGCGGTGCAGACAAAACCACGCTGCTCCTAATTCTGCCGTTGGGATTCTGTCACGAATCTACGCTAAAAAAACAAGAGGAGAGAAGCCCAAGCTGAAGCTAAAACTAAAGTTCACCTGCCAGACCTGCGGGGCCGGGCACAGCTTGTCCCCGAAGGCCACACGGGCAGCCTCGCCGGCCCCGGGCACTGCTCCAGACCCAGCCCGAGGGCTGCGCCTCCCGCCCCCGGCCGGGCCCGGCACTCACTTGCCCTCCTGGCAGTCGTAGAGCACGATGGAGTCATCGTCGCTGCTGGAGATGACGGTCTCGCCGTTGGGGCTGAAGTCGAAGCAGTTGATCTTGTCCGAGTTCTCGCGGAAGACCTTGGCCACGCGGAAGCTCCGCAGCACGTTGTCCGTCAGCTTCATCCCGGCCGCCGGGCCGCGCCGCGCCGAGGGCGGCGGCGCTCAGGGGAGAGCCGGGCGGGGCGCCGGGGCGGCGGCGGGGGCGCGCGGGCCGGGCTGGGCCCAGCGGGGCGGTGAGAGGCGGCGGGGGGGCAACGAGGGGCGGCGGGAGGCAGTGAGAGGCCGTGAGGGACGGCGGAGAGCAGCGGAGGGCCGTGAGGGGCGGTGGGGGGCTGTGAGGGGCGGCGGGCGCGGCGCGCTCAGGCCGCGGAGAGGCGGCTCCCCCTCATTGTGTCCGCCATCTTGCGGCTCCGGCGGGGCCGCGCGGGGCACGCCGGGAACGGGGAGGGGCGGGGGAGCGCGCGCGGGGCCCGCCGGGACGGGGGATAGCGGGGGGGAAGTCCCGGCCCGGCCGCCATGTTGAGTGTGGCGGGAAACGGCGGGAAGGCCCTGTGCGCTCCCCCGGCCCGCGGGGACTGTCAGCGTCTGTCAGCGCCCCTGCCCCGCCCGGGGCACCAGGTGGGAACGGGCAGCGCAGGGTGGGACCGGGCGGCTGTGGCGGAGCCGGGGTTCACCACCACAGTTTTCAGGACCCACCCGCCCGGCCGTGCCCGGCAGCGGGGTTGGGGGGCCGGGGTGAGGGCATGACGTCATCCCGTAAAGCAGGCAATGGATTCGCGCCGGCGAGGTGCGTCACTTCCGGCGCTGGGCGGGGCCGTGAGGGGCCCGGGGTAGTCCCTCCCCGCCGGGACGTCCCCGCTTGGGGTGTCCCCGCTTGGGGTTATCATGTTTTCCCGCGTTTCCCATGGGAATTAGGGAGAAATGTGCTACTCTGCAGCGGCTGAGCGTGAGCCAGCAGTGTGACCAAGAAGGCCAGTGGCATCCTGGCCTGTATCAGCAATAGTGTAGGCAGCGGGACCAGGGCAGTGACTGTTCCCCTGCGCTGGGCGCTGGCGAGGCCGCACCTCGAGGGCTGTGTCCAGTTCGGGGCCCCTCAGGACAAGACACACATTGAGGGGCTGGAGCCGGTCCAGAGAAGGGCAGCAGAGATGGGGAAGGGTCTGGAGCAGAAGTCTGACCAGGAGCGGCTGAGGGAGCTGGGGGGGCTGAGCCTGGGAGGCTCAGGGGGGACCTTCTTGCTCTCTACAACTCCCTGAGAGGAGGCGGGAGGCAGATGGGGGTCGGACTCTTCTCCAGGCAACCAGCGACAGGACAAGAGGACACAGTCTTAAGCTGCGCCGGGGGACATTTAGGTTGGACATTAGGAAGAATTTCTTCACGGAAGGGGTAATTTGGCATGGGCTGCCCAGGGAGGTAATGGAGTCACTGTCCCTGGAGGTGTTTAAGAAAAGGCTGGACATGGCACTCAGTGCCATGGTCTAGTTGACATGAGGTCATAGGTGGACTGGATGATCTCGAGGATCTTTTCCAACCTAATTGACTCTGTGGTTCTGTGAAAGCATTGATGGGGCCCGACAGGAACCACCTTTGCACAGCCTGGGACTGGACTCCTTCTTCACTGGCCAGGGAGCACCCCTGTGTCCATACCCTCCTTTGAAATACACCTTGATTACTTTCTTACCCTTCCACCGTGCTACTTTCAGTCCAGTTAATGAACATTTTCATTTCCCAGTATTCTTTTATTCCTCTAAAAACTTCCAAGCAGTACTATAGGAACACCACAGCTGTAGCAGCGTGATCCTGAACCATGTGAGACATCGGGTAAAGGTGTGCAGGACACGCTCAAGCCTTGGAGAAAGCCACCATGGCTTTTGAGGCTGCTGCTCCCATGCACGCACCCTGGAACTACATTTTTCTGTCATGAATCCTGATGTCAGGCTCTGTGTTCGTGTTTGTGTATATTTCTTACCTTAAAAAGTTATTTCTGGAGTATAACAGTAGCTATGAGATTCTCCCCCACACACCTCAAAGATTTCTGCTATTTTAAATTCAGAACACCACCAGATCTTCTTGGCATTTCAGTCCCCCAGAAACTCAGAATCAAAAGAAAAAAAAAACAACACCAAACCATAGACACTTTCCTAAACGTTAATTGCATTTTCCTTTCACAGTCTCCAGAACAGGGTTTGATTTTGCGTTTGTACCCTGTTGCCCTCCTGTGGTCAAACCTCACCAAGCCCGGGAGCTGTTCTTAAAGCTCTTCAGCCTGTTTGAAGGGCATGCAGGCATTATTTTGTGTGGATTTAGTGAAACAAAAGTCCTTCCCCAGATTCTTTCCCCTCGCTGTTTGTTTGCTGGAGCTCACCCTTAACACAGGTTGAGAGATCTCACCCGGCTCGTCCTCTCACGCCGCGGTGGGATTGGCTCCTCTGAATGATTCACCTGTTTTTCCTTTGAACCAGAGACAAGGTTTTCACACTGGAGTCCAGGGAGACTCAACAAAATGCCTTCATCACTCCTGAGGCTCTCAGGTTCAGCTGCCCCTTTGTTCAGCTCAGTTCAAAACCTGCCACTTATTTCCGTGTGATGAGAGGTTTCAGAGAGGCTCGGGGTGCCATGCCCTGCACGCTGTAAATTGCAGGATCAAAGCCTGGATTATCTCCTGTGGGCCCTGGAGGTGACTCACCAATACCATCATAAGACAATTTACTTCAAAACACCTACAATACTTAGCTAAGTTTTAGAGTTGTATAACACCGTGGGTTGTTGATTTGATATTTTGTCACTTCCTTTTTATTCTCCTGCCGTTCTTCCTAATCGTTGGAACTTAGTTTGTCAGTTTATACCAAGCTGGAATTTAGCTGGCAGGATAATTGGATCTCCTAGCACAATGTCATATTAAGTAGGAATCATGGATAATGCCCCTGCAAAATTAGTTAATGGAAAAAATGTTTAATTGCTGCTTGAGTGATATCGACCACATGCAGTTATTCTACCTATGTATTTCTGTGTTCCATACCACTGGAACCTGCACAGTACAGGGACTTGCTCAGCAGCAAAAATTCACACTTCTCCTTGCTGATTGTCCTGAGGTTTCTGTGGGTCCTGACCTTGAGTTTATCACGGTTCCTCTGGAAGGTGCCTCCATCAGCACTTCCCCAAATTAAGCACTTTGTGCTACCCTCCAGGTCACTAATGAAGCCATGAGGTGACATGAACCCCAACAGGTTCCTTGTTGATTACCAGCTGTCAGCTGGACCCCAGGCCACTTGTTTCTGCCCTCTGAGCTCAGTGGTCAGGCTGGTTTCCAGCAGGTTTGACTGTGTTTGCCCAGCCCTCACTCCAGTGTGCTCACAGGAGTGATGTCAAAAACCTCACTGAAGTCCAGGCAGTTCACATCTGCTGCTTTCCACATTCCCCACAGCCTCTTGTCTCAGCCCAGAGGGCAGCTGTAATTGTCATCCTGTGACTGATTAAGATTCCTGGCTCTTTCTCCTCTTATGTTATTTCCAACCGAGGAGCTCATAATTTTCTGCTATTAATCCCAAAGAGCGTGACCTTGTATTTCGCAGCACTGAATTTCAACCCCTTTCTACTATTCCAGTCCTCAAGGCTGGCAGCTTTTCATCTTCTCTAGAATACTATGATCCTTCCCTGTATTTTAAATGACTCTCAACTTTGATGGCAAGTTGACTCAGAATAGGGAGTTTGAGAAATTACAGCATGAAAGGAAGTAGACTTGGCATGGACTTGGCTCCAGGGTAGTAGTGTTCTGTGTTGAGCTACAGAAGGATTTTTAGTGAAAAATTTTTTCTTCCTTGCAATCCCCAGTGCATGGGAAAATCATTTCCAAAAGGTATATAGGGAGTGAAGGGAGTGTGACCTAGAAAAACTAGTAAGATGCATGTGTCAAATCCAGTTAATTTTTTTTACTAATCATACTGATCTATATATATAAAATGCTGAACACTTATCTTCCCTGTGCTTGGCCTTAAGCCACGTTCTCCATCAAAGGCAAAGAGACCCTGCTGACACTTTCCTGGTGAGTAAATCAGTCATGAGAGCAACATATTTCTTCTCCAACAAACATATAGAAAGCCATGTATCTGAAACTGGGACTCCTGCGTTTTCCAGAGCTCAGCATATTCTCGAAACAAAGGTATCCAGGCTCCATCCTACTTTCTCCCTTGCCTGCCTGGCAAGCCCTCTGGTCTCATCATACTGCTTCTGTCCACCTTCATCCTCTTTCCCAGGGCTTTTCCCAGGAGCACTGCAGTGAGTGGGGGCACAGGGCCTTTCACCCTGTCCCTGCACACCCACTTGTGCACTGGACCCTTCACAACTGCCCATCCTTCCTGCAGACGTTTCCTCTCTTACCAAATGTGAATGAGGCAGTGCAGTAATTTTATGCAAATCCATGTGCAGATTAAAAAATTAATCAAATTCTGAAATTTTCATTTAAAGAGATTAGTCTTGAAAAATCCCCCATCTAATCCTCCCAGAATAGACACTTGGAACAAGCCTTCCCCGCTTTGTTTCCCTCCTGGGTTCAGTGCATCTCCTGGAAAAATTTTCACGTAATGCTTTTGGGACCATGTGGAGCAGAGAGTTTGAGTTTCAAGCAGGGCTCACCAGGCAAATTAAAGTTGATATATCAAATGATAAAAGAGATGTGTCAGTAAGTGGGAGCAGGGGAGTTTGAGGCAGTAAAATCCCAGCTCTGTTGTACTTCGTAGGTGAACTCCCCTGGTGATGCAAGAGAAATGGGAGCACTGAGGCTCAGTGAGTGTAATGTTAATTTACGTACCAAGGGGCCAGAAGAAAGTCATGCAGCAAGAAAAACGAGGAGCAAGAGACGCTGCTAAAACTTGCTGTGTCTGGGAGTTTACTGCTATAATCTGTCTTTTAGAGCTTGAGCTCAAAATTATCCTCAGGCAATTGGGGTTTGATCCAGTGCCATCTCAAATGTTTTCCAAGCCCCTCAGGGATTTTAGAGTTGGCCCCGTACACGGTGGGCCAGCCACCAATCCCTGCCACACCGGGGGAAATCCAGAGACATCCCAGTGACATTAAAACTAACCTAACTTAGGCCCCCGAATCTCTCAGCTGAATTAGACATTCTGGTGCATGAATATTCAGCATCCTCTGATCTCGCAGCACCTGAAATGCTCAGGATGTGTCTGTGGTTGGGTTGGCCTGCAACAAGCTCAATTACCCCAACTTCAAGAAAACCACAAGCCCATGATGCAAATCCTTGAACAAACCCCCAGCCACGGCACCTGGAATAGCTCAGCTCTGCCCAGTGATGGCAGACTGGCCCCTAGAAAGGAATATTTTTCTGGCTTTCAAGCAGCTGCCATGGAGTGAGGTGCTGGCTCATTTTTCTCGCTGCATGGGCATGGCCAGCTCATTTGTTCACTGTTTTCCTCCCCAGTGTGACTCCAAGTTTATGGCTGAGGCTCTGCCCCACTATGTCCATGCTTTTGGTCTCCTGCCACCATCCAATTTACTTGGCTGCTTTACTACATTTCTGCCCCTACTGCTGGATTGTTTCTGTCTCCCTCTGACTTTGGCTCCTTGCCTGCAGAATTGCCTTAATTAAAAAGTTAATAAAAGGTAATGCAAACGAGTGTTTTGCCTGTATTTTATCACAGTCCAGCTCCTCTCCCTCCCTCTTTCCCAGAGAAGGTGAAAATAAGAAGCTGGGGTTTTGCTGCTTTTTGGTGTGAGAGCTAATAGTGGAAATTTCTGCAGGCTTAGGAGGAGCCCTGTGAAGAAAGAGCTTATAATGGTGTGTGTAGATTTATTATAAGTGTGTAGATTATTCATCAATGAAAGCTGAGGAAGTTTTCATTTAAAGGGGATTAATCTAAACCCCTTACAATCCTCCAGCTGTCTTTGGAACAGGTAATTCTTAGCATCATTTTCTTCCTAATCTTAGTGCAAACTTCTAGAAAACTTTTCAAAAGACTATCCCAACTCCAAAGTATCCCAAACAGGGACAAAGGGAAGGTGTGAAACCTGAGCCCCGCTCATCCTATGACAGATCACCTTATATCCATATAGAAGAGGGCTCATTCATCCCTATGTGATTTCCCTGAGAAAGTAGGAAACAAAGATCAGTGCATGAAGCAATATGAGTCACATCACCAGCCCCTTCTCCCAGCCCAGATTCCTCCCAGCCAGCAGTGGGAAGAGGGAAACACAGGGATGTGAGGGTGTAATTTCCCCACGTGCAATATGCAGCAGCTGACGGGCAGTTACATCATTTCTAAACCCACCATCTCTGGAGGGAGTCTAAAAGCTGCCATTTGGGTTATTTTTCTTTCCATGACTGCCTGTGTTTTGGGGTGATGTTCAATCCTCTTGATCTTGTTTTTAAAGCCCCAGAAAAATGAGTAGGAGTTTTATTTTTTTTTGTTAATATCTATATTGGATTTCACAGCACTTTTAATTTATAGCTGTTTCCTGATGACATTTAGTACCCAGTGCCTGAGACTGTATAAATAAATTACATAAAAATGGATTTGTGGCATCATTAGCAGCACCCCCATTCCAAGGGGAGCCTCCAGTGAGCCTGTGTGTCTAATCAGAGCTGACAAGGAGCAGAGTTACACACTGAGACATCCAAAGCTAATGGATCTGTGCCAAATTCAGCTCTCTGTTGCATTGGTATAAAGTTGGATAACCTCTGATTGCAAGGGGGTTTTTACACCATGTTTATTCTGCATTTACACCTGGGCTCTGAGATCAGTGTCAGGCAGTGTGCCCTAAAATCCTGAGAAGCAAAGGAAAGATGCTTGCTGACTTCACCAGACTCCGGATCAGGCCTCGATGGTTAAAATATAATCTGAGTTCAGAGTGCAGAAAACAGATTACATGCCTGCTATTGTAGTGAAATGCTTTCCAGAGCAAGCATTAGCAGTATGTACACAAGTGCCAAATGAATTAAACTGGCATTTATTTTCCAGCTCCAGTAGGAGAGGATTTCTCTTAAACAACTCACGCCTGCTGTGTCGTGTCTGGAGCTGGAGCTGAATGGAGTCGCCAGGAGGGCACGTGTGACAGGAGCCACTGTTGCAGGTCTGGTTGTGCTCAATTCCCCCGGTCTTCAGGGTCAGCCGTGCACAGAAACATCAAGGCACAGACATGACAGCCTCTTAAAAACTCTGGGGCTTTATTTTCTGCAATTCTCCTGGCTCCATTTAAGCCTTTTTATCCAGCCACTTCTGCAAACCCTGTATCGCAGCTTAGGGGAGGTGATCTGGGGCGTGATGCACCTCTGCTTTGTAACACCTTCTTCTGATTGCACTGTGCTGCCAGGTGAATCAGAGACCTGCTGGGAACAGAGATGCTGATCTCAGTTCCTGAGGGGGGCACAGCTGACTTCACTTCGAGCAGCACAGTCACTGTGGCTCTCACTGAAGAGGGGTCAGTGGTTTGTGCTGCTCGCAGCATCAGCTGCCATGAAGTTTAAGAGTCTAGTAACAAAGTGGTCAGGACGCCCTGTCTTTTATTCTCCTCTCTCATGGTTGAAAAGCCAGTCCTGACCAATATCTGAAGAGAGTACAGATAGGTAGTTAATCTGCCTTGGCTTTTGCCTTTAAAATCTGTTCTCCTAAGTATTCAATAATTTATGGTTAGGCTCGATCTTCAGGGTCTTTTCAGAGTGTGCCTGAGAAGGTGCTTGTGTAGAGGGTTTTTCGTGCAGAGCCTTTGGGTCCCTACAGCAAAATAAGGCAGATTTAGGCCTAGAGGAGCTGTTGAAAAGCTTGTGTGGCTTAATCATTAACACCTTGCAATGCTATGGGAGTGTCAGGACAAAGAGACCTCTGGACTCCTGAGCTTTCACAGAAGAATCCAGCCACTTGCACTGAAACACTCCACTTACCAGAGAGAGGATTAACTCTCTCAGGTAATTTGATTGCGTCTGTGATTGAGTGTGTTGCCTGGGCTGCTTGAGCCTCCTGGCACCCTGCCTTGATTGCCGTGAGCGGGAGGGATGCAGATCACAGGGATCTTTGATCCTGAGAAACCGGCAGTGAACTTGCTGCCAGTTAACAGAAGGAAGGAGAAATGCTGGGAGGGAATAGATGCCTGTGTGCTGGCAGGGGCTGCCTTTCCTCTGTCAAGACAAGTATCTGCCCTTGAGCAGCTGAGATCTTTCGGTCCATGCACAAATCTGTTGCATATAATGCTAATGCTCAGTGGAGACCAGCTCAAATGGGCTTTCACAGACACGGCTGGCAACTTTGCCTGGATCTGAAGTATTATTTGGGCTCTAAATGTGATTTTAATGGATAATGAAAGGACTAAAACATAAAGGCAAATGAAGCCTTGTGTTAATTTGCTGTTTGGTGAGGAAACCTCATTACTGGTCTCTCTGTGGCCACCAGCAGCAAGGGATCAGGCAGCCAGCAAGCCTGTTGTTTCTCCTGAGTCCATATCTGATGCTGCAGGGACACATGGGGCAATGCACAGCCAGAGAATGAGATCAGCATTTGGCCAGCACAAGGAAGGGAGTTAATGTAGTGAAAAGCTGTTCCACCCAGATGCCCTGCTCTCTCTAGGACAGAGAGCAGCTTCCACAGTTTGGAAAGGTGTCAAACGCTGAGCAAATAGAAATGATGGCTTGCCAGTGGCAAAGCGACAGTGATGGAGAAGGTGGCTGGCAGAGCTCACCTTCCCTGCGGGAGGTGATGGGATTGCAGAGGAATCACAAGCTGACAGGTAGTTTGAATGTGACACTGTCCTTCGCTCCTTCCTGCCTGGTAAGAAGTTTGAAAATGCTGTTCATATGGCACCTTAATCTAGAGGAAAGAGGAGCTAGAGCTTCATGGTTCATGTTTTGACCTCCCTTCTCTCTCTGTGACAGCCCTGTCTCTCCTGCTAGCAAAAATGTTCACTTTCCCTTGCAGGTTGGAGGCTTCAGCTGTCCCAGCTCTGGAGGCCTTGCCAGTGCTGGCAGAGCGTGTACAAGCCCACCCCACAGTGCAGACTGGCTCAGCCTGGCCACCCTGTGCAGAATGTCCCTACGAGAGCATGCGCTGTCCCTCTTCCGCAGCGCGGTGGGCACCGTCCGCCCGGCCCCGATGATGAAGAGGGCTCTGAAACTCCAGGGGGATAGGTGCCCTCAGCTGCTGGTGAAGGGCCAGGCCTTTCCAGTGAAGAGGGACCTGTACCTGGTGGGTTTTGGAAAAGCTGTGCTGGGGATGGCTGCAGCAGCTGAAGAGATCCTGGGAGACCACCTCGTCCGTGGTATCATCAGTGTACCACTCGGCATCCAGGAGAGCCTGCAGCGAGCAGGAATGCAGTAAGGAGGACTCTTTCTGGACAGTTCAAGGGGGGCTAGGCTACCAGATTTGTCCTCTGTGGGATGTTGCTGTGAACCCCTTCAGTCCTTTCCAGCTGCCCTTACTCTGTTGCCCATCCCATCCAACCCACTGCTCTCATCTTCAACCACCATCATGTCCCAGTGGCACCAGTAACAGACCCCACCTCTTATGCTGGATGTGCTGCCTCTCCAGCCCTGGGAAGAGACACTCAGCAAAGGCCATCTCCCTGTCCTGGTCACTTGCTGTACGCCTCTGGTGCACCAGGCACTGGCAGAGTGACAGCCTGGCTGCCTGTGTAGGTGCACAGGTCGGTGGTGTGACTGCCTCTCTCATCTCACCAGGGAGATGCTGCTGAAGCCACACAGCAAAATCCAGGTCATCGAGGGTGCCAAGAACAACCTCCCAGATGCAGAGGCTCTGAAGGGAGCTGTTGCCATACAGCAGCTGGCTGAGGGTCTGACTGCAGATGACCTGCTCCTCGTGCTTATCTCAGGTAGTGTGGGGCCCCCAGAGAATGGGATCTCCTGAGGCCATCCATGGCCATGAAGCAAGGGAACGCTGTGCTGTGCCTTTCAACATGGACCCTGGTACCTCTGTGATTTTTCCTCTCCCTTCCACCATCCTTTCTCCAGGGATGCAGCAAGGGAGAGCACGGGGCTTCCCACTGCTGCGGTGGACACACTGCCTCCCAGCACTGTGGAGTACCTGAGCTGCACAGGCTGGATCCTGTGGTTGTGCCACCACTGTGAGATGGCACCTCTGGGCACAGCCTGGGCTCTGTTCTCACCACTTGGCAAGGAGACGCTTTCTTCCTGCCCCCTCCTTACATTTGGGGATGCAGACTTGGAGATGCAAGCACTTAGTGGACTGGCACATTCTAAATTTTTGCAGGGCTGTGAGTCTGTAAGCTGAGATTCGTGACTGACCCTTCCCAGGGCTTGGCTGCTTCCCAGCCAGTGGAAATGCAGCCTCCAGGTACCAGCACAGTGAGCTGCCTGCCTTGCAGGGGTCAGTCCTGCACATCTCCAGGCCCTGGCTGCTGGGCCCCCAGGCTGTCCCCAGACCCAGGGCTGTGTGAGGAGAGTGGATATGGGGCATCAGAGGGATGCACTGCCATTGCCCCAGCCTGAGCTCAGCTGGCTGTGGGTGTCACAGGACAAAAGCACACAGGGGCTCTGCAGAAACCCCTCGGTCTCCTCTGCTCGGTGTTTATTCCTCTGTGGATGCTGAAGCCTGATCTGGTGCAGAGAGAATAGTGCCATTAGGCAGACACCCAAGTGACTGGAATCTAGCTGTGCTTGCTGGGGATTCCCCTGGGCTTCCTCCTGTCTTTTGGCTACGGGGATCTCCAAGAGACTCCTCAGCCCTTCAGGGAGCCTGTACAGGATCTCCCCGTGGCTGTGACTCCCTCTGCATGTGCACTCCCACACAGCAGCCGGTCCCCAACTGCTCCTGCCTCTCAGCTAGATCCCTGGCTATTGACTGAAACACAGGCATTTGCATTTGTTTTTCTTGCTCATCATGTTTTATTGATGCTGATTTGTCTCAAACCTCTGAGCAGGCTTTGCCTTTTGACAGTAGCTTTCAGATGTACTTCTGTGCATGTTCACTCTGCTCAGATCTTGCTCTTTTCTCCTCTGTATTTTCCATCCACTTTTCCATTAGAACTTTGCCTTCTTTTCCACATTTCCAATGCCTGCTTGTGTCAGACAGGATTTCCATTGATGAGGCTGGACCCCTGGACTCAGGATGTGCTTTGTCCTTTGCATTACTGTCTTCCCCTTCCTTTCCTCCCAGACCAAGGGGTTTCCAGTCTTGCTGCATCCACAGTTGGTAGGGGTTTTTTGTTTGTTTTTGTTTGTTTTTTTTACTCAGTGTCCTGAATAAATGGAGCCACCAAGCAGGCAGTGTCTCCATGTGCATAGCACAGACTGCTGTGTGAGCTATGGAAGCTGTGCTCCCTGCTCACCCCTCCAGGTGAATATCAATGTGAGGACACACTGGTAGCCCAGAGTAGTGGTGATAGTAGTTGCTGCCCCTTTTCTCTCATCCCCACAACGCTGGAGGCATGTGGTATCCCGGTCTGGCATGGTTTACATTGCCAGGTGAAGCATAGCAGACTGGAGAGAGTGCAGGACAGCAGTTATTAAAACCTATTGGTGAAGACTGAATTCTCCAGAGATGGTAGCTTAGGTCCCCAATTGCCTTCCCTCCATACACTAGTAAGGGAAGAGGAAAGGCTCAAGCCTTGCTCCCTTCTGTCCTCCTTTTCCTGCTATCCTGATGTCCTTGCCATCTCTTCTGCATCCTAGGGGGTGGATCAGCCCTGCTGCCTGCTCCCATCCCTCCCATCCTCCTCGAAGAGAAGGAGAAGCTCACAAAGATGCTGGCTTCCCGAGGAGCTGCCATACAGGAGCTGAACATTGTCCGGAAGACCCTGTCTGTGCTGAAGGGTGGAGGGCTGGCCCAGCTCGCATATCCCGCACAGGTAACCACGGGGAAGGCCCTGCTTGCCCACAGATCACCCACCTACCCCCAAAGCAGAGGTTCAATCAACTTACCTAAGCATGCTTGCAGGGCTTTTTCCTTACTAAGTGAACAACCTTTGCACGCTGTTTTGGGACTCTGTAGCTGAGATTTCACTAAGGACCCAAACTCTCAGGGAGACAGAAGTGGAACAGGGGGAATTCAGGCTTGGCAATCATCAGCCATCATCACACCACTCTCAGCACACCCCAGCCCACACCTGGCAGGCACCTCCAAGTGCTGGTGCTTCACCACAGTGCTTTCAAGGCTGGCTCTGACCCTTGGCTCCCCTGGGGGCTGTTCTCAGCATGTGCCATCACTGAACCCACACTAGGCTGGGCCTAACAAGTGCAGTGTCACAGGTTACATCTTCCAAAATGATGGTCCGGCATCAAAGGGGACTGTAGATCTGTGGGTTCAAGAAGGGCAAGGTGACACTCACAGGACCGTAAAACAAAAATTCCCTGCCCTGTTTCCATCTGCTTTGATGTGGGAGTAGTGCAAGTAGTGTAACTCAGAGCAATGTTTATGCCAGGGCTCTTGTATAGTCACGTCTCTTCCTCCTGCAATAATCTATGGGCATTTCTTTCCATAGGTGGTGAGTCTCATCCTGTCTGATGTGATTGGTGACCCCCTGGATATCATAGCAAGTGGGCCCACTGCTGCCAGCTCCCACAGTGTCCAAGACTGCCTTCAGGTACTTGCCAAATACAACCTGCTGCACAACCTGCCCAAGTCAGTGGAAACGGTCCTCTCCAGCTCTCCCACCAAGCCCACTGCTCCAGAAAACTACTCCCATGTTTCCAACATCATCATTGGGTCAAATACACTGGCTTTAGACGAGGCCAAACACCACGCTGAGGGCCTGGGCTATGCAGCTCTGGTTCTGAGTGCAGCAATCCGTGGGGAAGTCGGCCGTGTCTCCACGCTGTACTGCCAGCTGATCCGGCTGGTCTGCCTGGGCCTCGCCGGCCACGCAGAAGAGCCCCTCGGTGATGAGGTGAGGGGCCATCTCCTGCAGCTGGCAGCAGAGCTGGAGATCCCAGGTTTGGACCTCGCCAAGTTTCTACAGGCCCTGCGAGAATTAGGGCCTGAAAGACCAGTCTGCATCCTGGCTGGTGGAGAAACCACAGTCCAGCTTCAAGGAAGCGGCAAGGGAGGGAGGAACCAGGAGCTGGCCCTGCGCGTGGGGCTGGGGCTGCACAGGGCACAGGCCACGGAAGGCAGCAGCCCCCAAGGGAGGTGTGAGATCATCTTCTTCAGCGGGGGAACAGATGGGCAGGATGGGCCAACGGAGGCGGCAGGAGCCTTCTGCAGCCCAGGGCTGGTGGCTGAGGCGCTTCAGGAGGGCCTGGACGTGGAGGCCTTTCTTAGGAACAACGACTCCTACACCTTCTTCAGCCAGTTCCAAGGTGGGCATCACCTCCTGGTGACAGGCTTGACGGGCACCAATGTCATGGACATCCAGGCCATTTTAATTAGAGCCATGGAGAGATCATGAGAGCTCCCTCTGTAGATATCCAGATGCACTTAATTAGAACCAGGAGTAAATGAAAGCATCAATACTGCAGACAAATGCGAACTACTTAAATTAGGGCTCACTGTCGAGGGTGGTGGTATCTTTACAGAAAGAATCCACTAATTAGACATGAGTGGATGTCCACAGCAAAAGCAAGCACTTGTAATTGGGGGGATCAGAGAAGGTAAGAGGTCACATTGCAGACAAGGAAGCTGGATTTAACATGCTTGTGACTTCAAGTGAAGTTGAAGACTTAACATGCTGCAATTACAGTTAAAAGATGTGGGGAAGTTGAGGCTATGGCAGGGCTGCCAGGGAGAACCCTCACTGCACTGTTGCACCTCCAGTGAACCCAGCTCAAGAGCAGCTCAGGAGGGAGCTTTTGCAGGTTCACAGAAGTGCATTACAATGACTGAAGGATGTAAAAGCAGTGACAGCAAGGCCTGCTCCCCTGAAGTGTGAAGGTGCTGGAGGGATATGGTGGGAACACCCAGCACCCACTCCACATGCCAGCACAGTGCCCTGCAGCTCCTCCCACAGCAGTGTACTGAGGTGACACAGAGACCACAAGTCCAGCATGATGCAAACCCAGGAGTGTGGCTAAGGAGCACATTGGCAGAGATACTGGATGGGTGACACAGGCAGTGCACAGTGACATACAGGGTTCCATACCTTCACTGTGCAGCATAAGGAAGGGGATGAACGAAGTGCAGTGGCTCCTCCAGCCTCCTTCCCTCCACAGGAACATCTTCCTGCTGATCCCTGATGGGAGAGCCTCCGTGCCAGCAGCATGTACGCTATGAGCTTTCATAGTGTTGTTTTCCAACTGCCTAGAAAACAGTCATGCATCCAGCCTGAGCCACTGACCTTTCTTCTGCGCTGAGGCAGAAGTCGCTGTCACTCTGATTAACTCTGCTAATTCCACAGAACAAAAGGCAAGGAAACCTTCACGCTCAGCTCTCCTGACCCATGCTGCTGAGCTGATCAAAGGGCAGAGCTGCCAGAGCTGTGCTCTGACAGGGAGCTGCTCCCCCACATGTACAAGGACATGGTGGTTTATCGTGGTTTTGTCACCTACTGCAGCGTGATATGCGGGAGAGCAGAGATGAGCCGGGTTTCCCAGGATGTGCAGCCCACAGTGAGGCTGGATTTCAGAAGGGCTTTGCCTGTAGCAACAGGCACGTTGATGGTTTTGGCTGGATATTCAAAGGACTTCAGCTCAGCAGCCAGTATGACCCAGCACGTCCGACTCCTTTTGAATATCCGGCTGTTTGTTACAGAGCCTAAGTGGGAGCTGAGCTCCTTTGAAAACCCAGCTATAATGTAATAGGACACGCTTGACTCAGACTCTTTCCAGACAGACCGACCTACTCCGTGTGGCTGATCTCATCTCGTGACATAAACACACGGTTGTGCCAACACCGTGAGTCGTGGTGTATCTCACTGAGCAGTCGTTCTGCACCCGCCGGGATCAGAGAGTGGATTTTTGAGGAGGATACAACACCTCCTATTTTGGTTTTGAAGCCAACATCTAACAAGTAGGGATATCAGCAGGACCATCACGGGGCCCAGTATTGATGCCAGGCTGGCAGCTGGACTGTCTGGGCTACAGCCCAGGCACAGTGTAAGGCACAAGCCTGGGGATTTCAAAACCCTAGTCTTGCCTGGGATGGTTTAAACCCATCCACGCATCTCACTTGTCCTCAGAGTCTGAAAGTCTTCTGTAACATGCCTGAACTTGCTCACACTGGCAAACAGCTCCAAGATCTGCCGGGGGAAGTCTGCCAAGCGTTATAAAGCTCCCTGTGCCCCTGTAATGTCAGGGGATGGTTGTACAGGAGAAGCTGCTTTGTGCCGTGTGCTTTTCTCCAGAGGTCGCTGGCAGGTCGCCTGCTCCATGCCCAGCAGGCCAACTCCACAGGGGCACCAACGCACGGAGATACAGCCACAAGTATGGGCTGCAGCCAGGATAACTGGCTAAAGCTGGCTCCACAGTGCTGGGAATGCTTCCTGGCCAGTTCTGCTCCAGTGGAATGCAGAGTGACTCCAGTTTCAGGCTGGGGTGCCTGGCAGAAGGGTCACTGGCACCTTCAGCAGCAGGTTCAGTGTGCCACAGGCCCACAATAACCCCCTGCCCACAGGTCTGCCACACTGCTGAGCACCACGCTGGCCCTTGGAGCTGCAGCCAAGTTCAGAACACCTTGGGCTAGTGCTGACTGGCTTCTCCCAGGAAATGCCTACCCCAGATACCCTGAGCAGTGTCCTTGCTTTCTGAATGGTGGCTTTTCACTAGCAATTAAAGAATGTGTGTTGGAGAGGAGAAAAGGCTAATAAAAGATTTGTTGAAAGGATGGAGCTGTTTGAAGTACACTTCACGTCTACCTTTGCTTGGCCACTATATATGGGTTTTGTTCTTGTCCTTGTCCTTTCTTTCCTAGTGAAGAGATAACAGGATAGGGAGAGGTTCACTAAGGATATCCAGGCACCCAGAATACCTGGACAGCTCGAAGCTGCATTTCCAAAGGGTTGCTTGGGTGGACCTTCTACTTAGGGACAAAAGGAGCATTGGAGTTTGGGCACCCCTCACAGACAAAATGTTGTTTTATTCCTCTGGACAGTGCTCAGCAGGGAATTGTCTGTTCCTGCTCCAGCCCAAAGCCAGCTCCCTCTGACCTGCAGCCCCTTCACAGACACCAAAAGGCCCCACGCATGAGCCAGCATACACTTGGGCCATGCTGGTCGGGTTTAGCAGGATTTGTGAGCTAACAATTGCATCTTAAGACACAAGAGCATCACTTACCTGCCTAGTAATGATTTGCCTCTGGGCTGTCAGGGCCTGCCAGGAACGATGACTTTCCCATTGGGAGCTTGAGTGAGTCACCACAGCTGAGCAGGGCTTTGCAGCTTGCCCACGCTGTCCTGGACGGGATATTGGCATCATGGGAGCAAACCCGGGCAAGTGAAGGAACCCGGGCAAGTGAAGAAATCCAGAGTGCAGCCATGGTCACAACCCATGATCCCAGTGTACAGGCTGTGCTGGGAGCAGCTCCATGCCATCCTGGCTCCAGGGTGCTTCTGCCTAAGGCAACAAGTCACAGAGAGAATGAGGGCAATAAGAGCCACTTAGGTTTGATGCTCCCAGTCCCTTCCTTTTCTATCAGAAAAGCAAAACTTTCTATACCAGCCAGCCTCCAGGAGAGATCTGGGTGGAGATGGCCAACAGCTCCCTGGCCGTGTCCCTGTACATGGGCAGGGGACACTAGGACAGTCATTGGGAAAAACATGCCCAGATGCTGGCTGGGGAGTGAGTGAGCAAAGCCCAGGTACGTTCAGGGTCGATTTGCTCTCCTAAGCTGGCAGCTCGTAGCCAAACAGTGCTAATGGCCAGAAGTAACTGCGTTATTAACAGCACGAGCTTTTGGCAGTAAATTAAAAATCTTGGCTGCCGCCCTTGGCTCTGCTCTTGCCTCTTAGAAGACATTAATATCACAGCTCCCCAGCATTTCCATTATCACTTCATTAGGGATCCAATAATGATAAATGTGGATGGTTTTATTTTGCACAGAGCCTGATTAATGGCTAATATTTCACTAGGTGTTAATGGGGCCCTTCCTTTATGGAGGCATTGGAAGGGGCTGCCTTTCATCTCCTCCACAAGCCACAATTTTCACTATTTTCGCTAATGTGACAGATTTAACGCAAACCTTGAAAGAGTGGCTGAAGCCTCTTGAGAAACTTTGAAGAGAGTTGTGCTTGGGGCAGCCCTTGCTGTGGTGGCCATTTCTCAGCTCATTTTTCTTCTTCTTCCTCTTCCTCCTCCCCTGTCCTGCCAGCAGTGCCTCCTTGAGTGCCTGCACCCAGAGGTTGTCACCCATCTCCCGGGATACTGGGGGCCAAAAGCAAAGAAGCAGGTTCCCCAGAGATGAGCCCATCAGCACAGTTACCAGGTCTCTCCACAGCACATGTGGTGCAGAACCAGGCCCACCTTTGCAAGAGGTTGCAATGCAAGGAGGAGTGGGCTTGTGCTGGCCTCACCCCAAGCAGCTTGGCACCCCTCACCTGCAGCCCAAGAGGGCTGGGTAGCCTGGGAAGCAGGACAGAGTCCAGGCTGAGGCCAGCAGTCTTCCTCCAGCACCCCAGGGGACAGCTCTGGAGGCTCCTTCGAGGCTGGCTCCCACGGCACAGGAGCTGCTCTCCGCCGTAGGACCCCGGCGTATTGCACGGCTTCAATCCCTATATGAAGTGGGATGTATAATCACATAGGAATAAAAAGCCATACAAGACAGCAGGCTGTGAGTTGCTCCATGCTGGCAGGGCAATGGGACAGTCCCTCTGCAGTAGCTGCCACGGCCCCCACTGGAATGGAGCTGGGCCCTGGGGAGCCCCCAGAAGCACCCACCAGCTCCTGCACGTGGTCTGTGGGGACACAGAGGAGCCCTGCATCAAACAGAGAAGAGAGGCAATGTGTCAGCCAGAGGAAAGCACGGGAGGCCCCAGAGCTGCTGGAGAGGCAGCCCCAGGAGGTGTCAGCACTTGCTCCCAGCTAGCAAAGGCCTGCCACCCCAACTCCCTGCTGGGAGCTGTGACAAGACTTGCCCTGTGGTATATCCAGACCTCCTCCCCTCTCCCAGTCCCCAGCCTGGAACATCACCCTGCAGGGGCTCCTCCAGCCTGGGGACCCTCTGCTTGCATCACCATCCTCCCCACCAAGGCAATGGGTACCACAACCCTCCAGCACCATCACAAACACCTGGGGAGGGGAGAAAGAGGAGCCAGCCTCCTCCCCACAGAGGATGGAGCATCCTTCTCCATCTGACTGTGGAGAGGAGAGCCCAGCGGGTGAAGCGAGCAGTTGCAGGGAGCTGTCAGCACCCAGCTGTCAGAGTCCAAATCCCCTGGCAGCCCATTAGGAGCAGCTCCTGGCTGCCTGCAGGAGCTCTTGACAGGGGGCCAGGCACCAGCGAGAACGAGCACAGATCCTCCACTGAGGAGGTGGATGTGGGTGGAATGAAACCAGGGAGCTATTACTCCAGTGAACACCTACTGAGAGGCACTAGCACAGCCCCACATTTTGGGGGTGGGGGACAACCAGGGCAGGCTCCCTGAGGAGCCCACCCAAGCAGTGCTGGGGATAAAGCCAAGTGGTGACCAGCAGAAAGGGCTGTTTGTGCCACCTCCTCTCCTCCTGCCTTTCTGCTCACATCCCAGCAGCAATTCTGGCATCCACGGGATAGGAGACCTGGAGCAGCACTTGGGGCAAGAGGGAACGGGTGGTGGGTGCAGACTCATGCAATATAGCCCAGAGACACATTGAGAAGGGAAGGTTAAAAAAAAAAAAAAGGCAAAGTAACAATACACTCTCTGCTCTCCACCCAGTACCAAAAAAACTGTTTTTGCTGGCCCAGGAGAGCCCAGCCGACCAGCAGCCTCCAGGCAAACACCACAGTGTTGTCTTGGGCAGCACCAGAAGGGCTGAGTCACTCCAGAGCCATCACTCTGGGCTCCCCTTAAGAATTTCAAGCCTCAGGCTGCCTTTCCAAGCCTCATGGCAGCACTGGGAACATCAACCCTCTTCAAAACACTCCCAGAAACCTCCTTTCATCCCCAGTGTCCAGGTTTCTCCCAGGGCTGGAGCAGCTCAGCGGGGTGGACTCTGCACATCATCCATCCCCCATGGGATGTTCCTGCCCATGGTAGGATGGGCAGGAGTCCTCAGGGAAAGGTCCCCAGATGTCCCCTCTCTGGGGCAACACAAGCTCTCACCCATCTGCTCCAAGAGCTCTGAAGAGGCGAGGGTCAAGCCATATAAATGCCACATTTTGGGAGGATGGAGGCATCCTCCTCACCCTGGAGGGGGACAGCCCTGGCTCTCCCTCAGCTGGGCCGTGCCGCAGAATTTGGCAGACCAGACACCACAGCTCTTCACAAAGCACAAACCCTGCAGCTCGAGGGGCTCAACCCAACCAAAATCCCCAGCAAAACCCACACAGGAGGCGAGTGGTGACAACTGTCAGCGTGGCAGGGAGGAGACACACACAGGTGACCACCACACCAGAGGGAAATGGACACAGTGCCGGTGCTGCCGGGTCCTCGATCGCTCCTTAACTGCCTCCAAATCAAGTCAGCAATTACGGGATCATCACTTGATAAATGGTACGAAAAGATGCGTTTGTGAATCACTGCACCCCGGCTGGGTAAGAACACTGCCAGTGCTGTATTTGGGAGCAATTACTCTCCCCGAGCATGTGAATCATTAGGTATAATTACCCTAATAAATAAAAGGAAGATAACTCCAGTCTGTAGCCTAATCTAGAACAAGCGATTTTCGAGGAGAGCTGTGTGAAGGAAAACCAGGAGCACGAGGCAGAGGGAAAGCAGGAAGAGAAGGGCTTCAAAACCTGGTTTCAACCTGCTGTTAATCCCTCCCGTGGCAACCAAAACCAGCTGGCAGCAATGAAGTCTCTCCCACAGGTCCCCGCTGGAGTTTGGTGGCAGAGGATTTGCCACAGAAGGCTCAGGTTTGGCTGAGGGTTGTCCCTTCCCAAGGCAGCATCCCACTAGGGCATGACTTCTCTTGGCAAAAGTTTCCCTGCTACAAAAGTGCAAAGAGGTTAAATAAATAAATAAATATTTATTTATTTTGGGGGTCATGGGAGGCAAGAGTTACTTGAGTCTAATGAAACAATTTTGCTTTTCTCCTGGGAAACACTGGAATAAAAAAAATACTCTAAACCCACCCCACTCAAAGTTGACATTTTGAAACGAAGCAGCAATTTTCTTCTCCACTTAAAATGTCATCACAGACTTTTGCTGTAAAAAAAAGCATCATTCCCTGAGTGACATTTTAAGGGGAAATGTTGACTTAAAACCAGAAGGAAACCCCCAACCCATGCAATGAAATGTTTCGAGCTGCAGTGAAACTCCTTGCAGGGAAATCAGTATTTTTTGCAGAAAGAAAAATACAACTACACATATTTAGTGGATTGAATTTCCCATGGGAGAAATCTACTCTCGAGGAAAAGGATGGAGCAGCATCACTGCCCTGTTCCAGAGGAAACAGCATCCCCAGTTCTGGGCAAGTTTTCTCAAAAGAGCCCTGCAAAGCAAAAAATTGGCTGTAGAGGCTGGGTTTGTCCTACCAGGTGGTGCTGGCTCTGTCCTGTCCCTGCAAGATGCCAACACAGGAGCTGCTCCTGCCCAGCCCAGTGGTGAGGAAGATGCTGAAGCCAAGGGGTGCTGGCATCAGGGTGGGGAGCTCTGGTGAACAATAGCAGGATTTATTCCACAGCCTCTGTGGGGAGAAATTGGATTTAGTCTGTGACTCATGGGAATCCCACTTGTTCCCCAGGGG